GGGGCAGGGGATGCTATGAAGCTATTTCTCAAGGTTCAGTCTGAGGCACGGGGTCTAACTGTCTGATGGGAGATAGGCAGTGGCTCCAAGTAACATGTAAGTGACTGCTGATGGAGTGCGGGAGTGTGAGAGTCTCGGAGGAGGAGAGGTCATTAGCCTGGAGGGATCATAGGAGGCTACTTGGCCAAGGAGCTACTGGGCATGGGCACTACTGGGTAGGCAGAATTCAGAGTTGGAGGGGAGGGCATTTCTGAATGGAAGATGTACACCCCAGGCTACATGGTGGCCGCCAAAGATACCCACGTCCTAGTCTCTGGAGCCTGTGAATGTTACCTTACGGAGCAGAGGGAACTTTGCAGATGTCATCAGGTTAAGGACCTTGAGATGTGGGGGGTTAGCCTGGATTATTGGGTGGACCCAGTATCATCCCATGGGAGGATCTGATTCCAGACAAACAGAGGACAGGTGATGTGAGAGAAACAGAGCCTGGAAGATGCTGCGCTGCTGGCTCTGAGGATGGAGGAAGGGACCACAAGCCAAGGAATGCGAGGAATAAAGCTCTAGAGACTAGAAAGGCAAAGAAATGGATCCTTGCCTGGAGCCTTCAGAAGGACCCAGTCTCACTGCACACCCTCACTGATTCCAGGCTTTTGGCTTCCAGGACCGTACGTGAATAAGACACTGCATTTGTGGCACTTGTGAGAGCAGGCACAGGAAACTAACACGGGGCAGCGGGGGGAGGCAGGTGGGGAGCTAGGGAAAGGCAGCGCGTATCTCGTGAGGATGCTGTGCTTAACTGGGCCGCACGGATGGTGCGAGGCAGGGCACGGAAGGTTCGTCAAGTTGTGGCGGGGTTACAACAGTAACCTACAAAGTGCAGACTCGATTTAAACATCTCTGAAGTGTGCCGAGCATGTGCTGTGTGCCCGGCTCTCTGCCAGGCGGTCAGTGCATCACCCCACTGTACCACCTGATCATCCCCCTGTGTGACAGGTGAGGCAGCTGGGCTCTGGGACCTGTGACAGCCGAGCGCCACAAGGCTGGCAAATGGCCCAACCGGGCCTTGGGCTCAAGTCAGCGTGACGCCGGTGTTTGAGTCACTGTGACTTCAGTAGCTGATGGAGCAATGAACTGCCCTGATGAAGAGTGTTTTGTTGTTTTGCTTTTTAAAACAATTTTTCAGAAAAATAGCTGGGATGAATTAGAGGCGAAGGGACTAGCAGGGTATCCTAATTGAAGCTCTACTGATAGGTGGGGCTAGGCAATTCTTTGTTTGGGGGGGCGTCCTGTACACTGTAGGATGCCAGGAGCACCTTCCGCCCCAGCTGTGACAACTAAAATGTCTCCAGACATTGCTGGGTGTCTCCCAGTGGCCAGATCCCTTCCTGCGAATTAGAGGCTGAGAGCCCACGGACGTCCAGTCTTCAGTGCTGAAGTTCTAAAAGAGGGTGGGAGAAATGGGGATAAAAAGGAGAGAGAGAAAGCTCTTTCTAGGGGTTGGATGGTGGCCCCACTGTCAGACAGAAGAGACAGGTTGGGTGGTGTGGGGGCTGGGGAGAAGGGAGGAGCCGCCAAGCTCGTTTCAGACAGGTGGAATTTGAGGTACTGGAAGGACTGTCAGGAGGGTGGTCGGCAGAGAGCAGGAATAGCCCGGCCCACCCACGGTCTTTGTGAGATTAGGAAGGTGCAGCCTTCTTCCTGGTGGACGTGGCCCCGGCCAGGGGTCCCACCTGCTGCCATTCCTGGCAGCATGGATGTGGAGGTGTCCCCTTGGCCACTGCTGCCATGGGAGGGGTTGTTGAAGCACCTGGATGGAGACTTTCTTATTGAGAAGGGAGACAAGAGAGAGGGGAGGACCACCGACTGCACTGGAGGAGACACTTGGGTAGGGGCAGGAATAGGTGAAAGGGGCTGCTGAAAACAAACGGAGAAGGTCAAGAGATGGGCAGGGTATGCCAGTCCCAGGAAAGCCAAGAGGTGAGAGTGTTTCCAGGAAGAGATCTAAGAGCTTTGGGTGCACCAGCGAGAATACAGGCTGGAGAAAGATGGCGGGCCTGTCAGTGCAGGAGGACTCCGTGTCAGTTACATGCAGGGGAGGCAAAGACAGAGCAGGACATTTGCAATGAAGACAGAGGACGTAACACACTTCCTCAAGATCATAGGTGGGACAGGAGAGTCAGTAGTAGAAAAAGAGCTAGAGATGCAGCAGGTTCCAGGGAAGGATTGCCCTCTTGAGAGGTGTGCTTGATGGCAAGAGGAGGAATAAGGGGGAGAGAAAGGCTGTAGGTGCCAGAGAAGGAAGTCATAATTCCGGACCTTGTGCACAGGCTCCCTGGGAAGGGACAGCGAAGGGGAGACACGGGGAGGGGAGGGAAGGAAGGGCTGCATCTGGAGAGAGCAGTGAGAATACAGTGGGAATTTGGAGGGAAGGGAGAAAAGACAGTCGAGAGAGAGAGAGGAAGAGAGCTGAATATGTTCATGCCTGGAGCCTTGATCCCTGGCAGTGCAACTTTCAGAGAATTTCCAGCATGCAAGAGTAGAGCAGTAATATTATAATAATAGCTATCGAGTATTAAGAACCTGCTGTGTGCCAGGCACCATGCCAGGAGTTTTACACGTGATACTTTCTCATCGTTATAAACAACCCAGCAAGGAAATGTGTTTGCATTTGTAGGTGAGGCAACAGAAACTCAGCAAGGTTGAGGTACAGAGCTGGTTAAGTGGTAGGATCAGAATCCAGATCTCAGTCTGTCATTCTCTTTCAAGTGACTGGGTGGCAAATATGAAGGGTGCATCAGGAGAGGTGCTCTGTGAGGATATCAAGATGGCAGGCATCGGGGGAGGTGGCCTGGATGATGTTGGCATGAACTTTAGGAGCACATGAATTTGGGGTGGCTAACTTG